CTGGGTGTCATCAGTAAAGGAACATCTGGAAATGTCATTGACAAGGCCCCTAAGGAAGAAAAGGCCTGAGCAATTGATGTAATGTATATGAAAACTGACAGACCTCTTCAGATGAAAATGAACAAGCCCCCCTCAGAGCTGTACATACTTTAGGAATTCTGCTACAATTTTATTAGTGTCACTAAAAGATGATTCATGTATATCATTTTTTTTAACCTAAACTTAAGTGATTGTTTTTACTGCAGAGCTTTCACATAATAGACAAACGCAATCTAAGGCGTTCATTCGCACATCTTCAGTCTCCTGTTGTATATTTATGCTGTTTATAGTCGCTTATCTCATGCACGTCTTATTTTGAACTTACTCATGTTTAGTCTGACTCTGTGTGAAGGGTCACTGTTATGGTCACCTTTTACCCTTGTGCCCTAATGGTCTTTCACTTGGCTTTTTCCTGGCATAAAGTTTCCTTTTGAAACAAAAATGTTCTAACCCATTTTCCTGTGTACATAACACTCTACTCCTGTCACTGTGGTTTCGTGCCTATTTCTAGGCCTAGTTGACCGTTTTTCCACGTGAACAAAGGTTTTTGACCTGGAGCTCCGGCTGTCTTACCACTTTTTTATGGTTTCCTTTAAAACGCAGTCAAAATCTGAATTGTGGTAGGAAGAGATTAGGATAAGCAGATACTGGCTTGGTCCAGATTTGCATGTGGCTCTGGTCTCAGTCCAGGTTCTGAAAGATTGCTGAGGTCTTCTGACAGGGGGGGGTCCCTGCAAGGTTACTAACATGTTTTTGTGTCAGTGGCATTATGTATGATTATCTTTTCTTCGATTTTAAAGACGTCTTTACAAATCTGAAAGCCAGTGTATATATTCCCAATTGATCAGTTTTGGGAGAGGTGCTGCAAGTAAAAGGGACATGCAACTAGTGTGTCATTGCTCATGTTCCTGATCTGTTAAATATTTAAAATGTAAAGTCTCTGATCAGAAAAGTCTCCACTCAAAAAGATTAGTGTCCTGTGGTTGTAGTTTTAAAATATCCACTACAGTAACTCAGGACAGCAGGGTAGGAATTTGTTTTACATTTTTCTTTAACATTTAAAGTTATTTCGGAGTAGAATGCCATTGAAGACAACATATTGATTTGAAGTCAGAGTTTAAGTAAATGCACATTTGGTTACATACAGAACACTTTTTAAGCCTGGTGTTTCCAGTTATGTATTAATCATTTGGAGTGCTATTAGAATAGGACAGGAAAAGTAACTTTTTCTTGAGTTCTTTTGGCAAGGCACAATATAACTACAGTATATTTATATACTCCCGATTTCTTTATCAAATGCTTTTGGAGTTATGTTCTAAAGTAACTGGATGTTGGCACTTAGTTTTTTTAAATTGTATTTCTTATACAAAAACATAACAGTGAAACTTTTGAAAACCAGAATAATTCCGTTTAGAATGTCAACTTTTCCCCATTTTCTTTTTATTAAAGATTAATTTAAGCAATGATCTCTATGTATGTGGTTCCTCATTGTTTTTGTCCTCCAATTAAAGCTTGCCATTTCCTAGTGTGTTTGAAAACTTGGCAATTAATAACTTTCAGGTATAAATGAACTCTGGAGTGCTACAGCATATCATCAGAGGAAGAACGTTCATAAATTTTTTCCCACTTGGAATTCCAGGGAGTATGGTGGGGCGTCTCGTCAAGGTCCTGAAGAGTTACGTAAATATGCAGACATCGGTGCAGCTTGGATGACTGTCCCAAAATGTTAAGGTTTTGAAAAACTGGTCTTCCACTGACAAGAAAAAAAACTACAGCATCATCCTTTTGAAAGGAGCTTACTGAGGACAATTGGTGCGCTTTAATATTTTTTATTTTGGATGTAAAAAGGATGCATCTAATTTTTTTGTAGAGTAGAAATGTTACCCTTGGCTTTTTTTGTCACAAAGTGTGAAAGATTAGGCATCTGGATTTTGCCTATTCCACCTCACAAGTACTCAAGTGAGCTAATTTGCTGAATGAGATGCTGAATCACAGCTTTCTGAATTAGTTGACTTTGTTAATGGAAATTAGGCTTTAATTATGATCTTATCATTAGGTCTCATACAGTATGTTTAAATACCTGTTTAAATCTGCAAGGAGTGGTTGAATGATCAAAATATACAACTTTGAACCATGGACCATCCGAATCTTACCCAAGTCTGAAGAGAAATGGCAGGTCCTTTCTGTGATGTTTAGAAATAAAATTTACTTTAGATTTAAATACATGATGCACAGACGGGATATTTTTATGATCATCAGGGAGCTACTGAACTAGAGGAAGTGAAATTTCATCATTAACATCTTTGACAAGTTAGGTAAGCAATCAAAAAAGTAAATGTTTGGTTTTACAATGAAAATGTGATTTATTACAGAGTGATGGGCAGCATGGTGGGGCAGTGCTGGGTAAAATTCCTGGGACACTATCTGCATGGAGCTTGTACATTTCCCCACGTTTGTGTGGTTTTCATTCCACAGACAGGATATTCCACAAGATTAATTGTTTTCTAGGAAAACTGTCCCTGGTGCGAGTGTGCATGCCTGTATCGATGTGGCCCTGTGATGGCCGTGTGTCTGTTGCTTACCTGTAACCCTGTACTGGATAAACAGCTAGAAACTGATAAATGGATCTCTGCTCAAAGAAAAAAGAATGGCCCTGAAAGAAAGATCTTTAATGTCGGCCTTAGTATGTTTGTAGTAGTGGCATCACCGAAGCAGTAGCATAGTTAAATGCATCTCCTATTTAAGGAAATCATTGTATCACTTCTGACCCAGTTCTGTACTGGACACCAAAGCATATCTAGCACCACCTATTGGCTGGCCACTGAACTGCACACAGCCTGCGAAGTCCCATCAGCACCTTTCTCAAGCACTGTCTGCTGGTTTTCTTTCCAGGTGACTTCTACCTCGCTAATATTAAAAGATGACTTAATCTGTCTGTGTGTTTAGACTTGTATTTAACTTATTTCTTTGGTAAGTCCTGAGTGTCATGGCATACTTTAAAAAGCACTTTCCAATAAAACTTCCATATAAAACTACACAGCATCTCCTTATCTTGAGTGGATCACTTGATGAACAGACACATGAGAGTAACACTATCAGACTTCACCAAAAAAGTTTTTCCCCCCTTTTGAATGGGCCTTTGTTACATTTCATGCAACACTTGAATAAGGGCAGTCTTGAAACTCAAATAAGAGTTGATATCAATAACAAATCTCATCTGAATACTTAAGAGCTGAAAGCAGATATGCTCCAGCCAGAAAACTCAACTCAATTAACCATCGAACGGAGAACAGAGCTGGAGTGAAAACTTGATGGCAATCCTTCCAAGACCAGGACAAAGAACCACTACTTTAACCTGTAAGACGTCCTCCAGGGTGGATTAAATAAGGACTGAGCATATTAAAATGAAAATTTAAGGAGGCCACTTGGCCCATCTCTAGCTTGACATCTCCCCTGTTACAAAACTTCACCAAAGACCTGCATTCAAGAATGGGGCTTGGCAATTTTTCAGTGACCCACAACCCCCTTTTTTACAGAAATTAATGGCTGCTTGAAAATGGGATGAGAAAGAAAATTCAAGGAGGAAAGTCCCATCTTTAAAAAAAAAAAAAATCAAATAAAAAAATGACTCTGATAATACATATTCTGCATAACGCCAGATAAGCCACAGAGAAAAGTTATGAGGTCTGGTATAAGGATTTAAAATCCCAACAGAGTTTGACAAGGCTCCTTGGGGCTACAGTACCCAAGGCTACCTGAGGAATGGCTTCCTTGCATAGACCCCAGTATCCATCAAGGACTGGTCAATAAATACATACTGAGCTCGGTACAACCACCACCAATAAAACACGAACTCTTTTTTAAAATGAAACCGTCTTTATTAAGTAACTTTTAATATCAGAAAAATAAAACTCTTATAATTCTCTTTACAGCAAATATATAATATCAGTGCTTTGGCCACATAAGTTAAAGGCCCTTTATCATAAAATATATGTTTTTTAAACTTTACTCAATATATTGGATTTATACTCCCTATGACTGCCCTACATATACATAACAAAAGTGTAGTAAAATTAGCAAATACTAAACTATAGGTACAGTATTTCATTCTTACGTTTGTGGTTTACAGAAATAGTACACGCCCCTAATGTGTTAGTTCCTTGGCTTTTTTAGTTGCAGTGTACAATGCAATACAATACAAAATACATGCTTTGTGAACATTCGTTCTTAACCTACAAGACGGCAGCTGAGCCTTAGATTTCAATACTGACAAACTATACTACAAGCATTTAGCTTTAAAGTTATGCATTACGTCATAATGTGCCATCAAGGCAAGTCTCATACTGGAAATAAAAATAAAAACTTATTTGTAAACCTTTTATATGAAATGTAACTTCAAGTGGAAATAAAAAATAAAATTCTCTATATATACCTGTTTAATTATAATACACGACAGGAGTCAATGTTAACCTTGATGGTCTGAGCACAACCTGCTTTTCTAGGGGAAAGAGTTGAACACATTTGGCAGGAAAATCCACTAGACTGCATTGCTGTGATCACTGCAGCAAAGAACACGAGCTTTTAAAGTACAGATCACGCACACGCTGCATGGTGGAGACAATCTGGGGCTTAACAGTTTTCCCCACGTATGAGAATGAACACTCGTCTTACCATGTAAGGAGAAATGGATAGAGTTGGGAATTCTGGAAAGGTGTTGAGGATCGGGTTACAGAAAACCCCTGTAGATCAACAGAGGCCAGAGGATCGATTTGCAAAGGTCAGGACTCGGAAGAAAACCCCGATGGACCCCCCTATAAAAGTTTTGTTCGTCCAGCTTAAGAAAACCTCACAATGTTTAGTGTGCTACATGTCCACTACTGAACACGGTCCGCCAGGGGCAACCCAACAGGACAGGCAGAGATCCCTGCAAGAACACCGAATCAGAAAACATAAGTTGTAACTTTAGTGTCAATTCCCAAAACAAGGTGTAATCTTTACATGAACTAATACATGCAAAAAAATAAACGGAACACTAACTTCAAAAGGAACTGGTGTGAATAGTCCGAGTTGGGGCAGCTAAACTGTCCCTACCCAGGAATACTTTGGCACTGTAGGACAAGCCATGTCTGCACATTTCTAGGGAAGCTGAGAAGAGGAGCACAACAGATAAAAGCACCTGGTTTTAGAGAATAGTGGGCCTGCAAAGACACCCCCACATTTACACATTAGCCCAGAAACCAAGGAGAGCGAGGCCACCTACCAGGAGATATGGCAAGAGGCAGAACTGCTTTTGAAAATGAAACTTCAACCCGTTTCATCTGCAAAAACAGGAACGAAGAAAACAAGCAGGCGGCTTCAGACTCCGTGGAAGGCTTCTCTAGGGCCAGGTCATATTCACATCACAGCCCAAGACCTGCAGGGCTCATAGTGACTTCAGGATTGCATCTCAAGCCTCCACATAAATTACCTGATCAGGTTACTGTGCTGAAGACTTTTTCTGTAGATGATAAATAACGGTAATTAAAACATATCTGTACAATCTGTAGGACTGCAGCCACAGCAGAGCTGGTTGATTACTTTGATATCCAGTGCTATAGGGTTTATACAACTGCTCTTTTGGTTTGAAAAAGAAAATACTTAGGTTTAAATGTAAAATTATTCTAAACATACAGGGCAACATTTAATTTAATTCTTGCTCCCCCGCCTGTTCGAACAAGTAAACTTTAAATGCTGAGAAATAAAAACATGGAATGTTTTTAGCCTCTTCAGTGATACCCCCCATTAGTGCAAACCAGTGATTGTGTGCAATGACCAGTAGTCCCTCCTCTGCCAACAGAGGCAGGCAGACTGTGCCCTGCCAGCCAAGGTTAAGTTGATCCTCGTCTCTAATTGTACAAATACAGTCCCCAAGACCGCTGCATTGGGATCTGTATTTCAGGAATACCTTCTGCGTGAACTGATCGCAAGCTTTAAACTGTTAGCAGTAGGCTTAGGCACAAGTTGTTGTAAACTGGAACTAAAAGTGTGGCAGTAGTCAGAGGCAGTTAAAAGGTGTTCAGGCATCCAGTTCGGAGTTCTGTGTCTCACTGCTGCAGGGAAAACGGCTCCACTTGGACGACTGGACTAGGGAGCTTTTACACTGAAAAACATTAACATAGGTTTCCTATTGCAACTGGCATCATTTTAGTTCCCAGTGGGCTTAGTACCTCATTTTAGTCTAAAAAGGCAGACATCATATTTCATCTCAATGGAAAGTAGACATTAGCAGCTATCAGTTGGGGAGAAAGTATTGATGACATGACCAACAACTTAAGCCTAAATCCTAATTGTTTTTTTTAACAGTCATTCGAAGTGACACATAAATAAGGAGACCGGAGGGCGATTTGTAATGATACCAACCGATCCCAACACAGCCACAGGCACACACACCAAGCCAGCCTGCGTGCCTGCCCGGGCCTTCACATGTTCAGGAGCCTGATGGCCTGTGTGACAGGCACCTGGCAAACTGGGCACACCGGTTTGCTCTTCTCACAGATGCTGTTGGCGCACTCCATGCAGAAGAGGTTGTGGCCACAGGGCACCAGGGCGGCGATCACCTCGCTCTCCATGCACTTGATGCAGTCCTGCCTGCCCCGGTACAGCCCCGCCGAGCTGGCCGAGTCCGGCGGCGAGCTGGAGGTGGTGCTGTCGCTGGAAGAGGAGAAGGCCGGGAGGTACATCTGGCACTTGGAGCTCTGGGTGCTGAGGGGATCGCTCTGCACCCGGCGGGCCAGCGGGTGCTCCAGGCTGTCCGGGAAGGTGGGCGACAGGCGGGGGGTGCTGGGCTGGCTCTCCCGTCGCTGGCTCCTCCCGTCAAACAGGGCGGTGCCCTGCTCAAAGGGGCTCCAGATGACCTGCTGGGGCGTCATCACGACGGGGTCGAAGCCAGGAGACTCCATCCCGCCCAAGTCCTCGGAGCCCAGGGGCAGGAGGGCCTCCCCGAACCAGAAGCTGCCCCCACCGCCGTTGAAGGGGCTGGTGGGGCTGAAGTCGGCCATGCGGCCGCCGCCGCCGCCCCCGTAGTAGGAATCGGTGGAGCCGCTGCCCAGGGAGCTGGAGCTGTCGTTGCGGTAGTTGGAGGTGATCCGCGTGCCACGGGCCCCCCCGCCAGGGGGGGCGGGGTTGGAGTGCAGCCAGGAGCTGCAGCCGCCATCGAAGCTCACGTCCGTGCCGTTGTAGTGGAAGTCGTTCTCCTCGCCCGTCATCTCCACGTAGCTGCCGGTGCGCAGGGCGATGTGCGCCTCGATCTCCTCCCGGGCCCGGTCCACGTTCTCCGGCATGCCCGTCACCTCGAACACGGGCTCCTTGTCCCGGCTGGGCGTCACGATGTAGGTGTGCGTCTGCTGCTGGATGCGCTTGATGGTGGCGCCCTTGGGCCCCACCACGAGCCCCACCACCCTGTAGGGCACCCGCACCTGGATGGTGGTCTGGCCCGGCAGGTTAGGGGCGCCGGGCAGCCCTCCCGACAGGGGCCCGGCTTTGTTCCGGGACGCCCGGATCAGAGAGAAGTGCTCGGCGGCCGACAGGATCTCCCTCTTGGCCATCGCCACGTCTTCCTTGCGCCCCGTCACCACGAACACCGGCTGCTCCCCGCGCACCGGGGTCTTGATGTAGGTGTTGGTCTTGGCTCGCAGCGCCTTGATCTTGCACCCTGAGAGAGAACAGCAACATGAATTAAGAGCGTGGCCACCTCTGCAGGTGAACAGCGCCAAGCACAGACCGTGACACCGAAGAAGGGAGCTTAAGGATTTTATGTAAAATGAAGTAATGAGTTCATGTTCTTAAAAGATGAACTTGTACTTGTTAGTCAAGGGGAACCGCAGTCCCATTTTCTGAGACCGCTTCGTAACAAAATAAACGCATCGACAACCGAAAAACGTTACAAAATCGTGAACTTTGTGAAAGTACTGCAAGTCGCAAAACCCCTGGTCTCAATACTCTCACAAGTGCAAGTTCGCGAGAATTGTGGCATGAAGTGGTCCTTCCTGCTCACTAGTCACTAATGAAATGCGATGTACGATCGAATAAATCCAGGTCATGCAGTAGATATTTCACTACAGGAAGTTTCCAATGGAATGTGCTTGCAGAGTTAACCAGTTCCATTTATCTGCAAAACCAAGATCTTGAAGTCGAGCAATATTTCTATTGGACTAAAAGAGATGCATTAAGAAACCCGCGTCTTTACAGTGTCATAGGGCTGCTTCACATCACCAGACGTTTTGATGCCTCATTCTGAGGGCAATAAGGTCATTTCCTTGCCATGTGTAACTCCAACCTTCCAGTCTAAACTCTGTGTGAATCCGTACTGCTGGTCCGGGGGTTTCAGCTTCTTAACTTTTAGCGATATCGAAAACTAACAGCCCTTCAAGGTCAGGTGGCTAAAGTCATAGTGTTTGCTAAACAGCCCTTGTGAGCTATGCATTCAGCAGACAGGTCAGTGTACCCAAGCATCATTTAGCAGAATCCCAGGACTGTTCAAAATATTACGGTAAATCATTAAAGTTACAAAAAAACCCCAACTTCAGTGGGCTTCCTAACTGAAAGCTATTATCCAACTCCCGGAAACCGTTACCCTACAGCCCCCAAATACCGAAAAGGTGAGAACGTCGTGGTGGAACACTCCGCTTCAGCCTAACAATGTGGAAACACGAGCAGGTTTTAGTTCACTGCTCATTCCACTTAAAGGCACACAACCGCGACAGCCTGAACCCACCCCCCTCTCTCTCCAGTTTGTAAACAAGACACTACATCGACGTCGCCGCAGTTTCGGGTCAAATGTCTCGGCAGTTCCGGCTGCGCAGACTCGCGTACTGTTGAACACCCTGCCCCCCACTCTCGGCTTCACAGAGGCGAAGCAACTTTCTGTCGACTTCCAAGAGACCCCCTCGGAGGCTGTACACACCCGGGCAAGAGCGAACAGGGCTCTGCCGGCCACGTTGTGGCGAGGAAGTTGGCCGCCTCTCCCCCTCCTCCCCAAACCCCAGGAGCTCTCCCTCTCCCGATCCGGGCCGAGCGCAACGCAAGACAAAGCCGCCGGTGGAAAAGTGTGATCGTTGTCGATTAAAAAAAAAACACATTCAAATAATGGCGACCCACCCCCCCGAAAAAGAGCCCTTCACGCCAATATTGTGTGGAAATAAACAAAAGAGGGTAGGGTCGACCAACGAGCTTAGGCTTCAAGACACCTTGCCGTTCCGTCTACAGACATGAGCGTTTCTGTAGGACGGGACGGTAGCCAGCACTGGGGGGGGAGGAGGGGGGCACGATCGTTAGTTGACCGGCCGGTCGCGATTTAGAAAACCCGATTTCCCGACGTGCGGCGCAGCGCTCACCCTGCCTGCCGACGATCTCCGCGACGTGCTCGGAGCTGGGCACCTCCACGCACTCCGTGGTGTTGACGCTTCTCCTCCGCAAGAGCGAGGACGGCGGCTCGGCCTCGAACCCGGCTTCCCCGTACCCCGGCGGCAGGATCATCATCATCCCGGGCACCGCGTGAGGCTGGGGGTCCTCCAGCTCCCCACCGTACAGCATTACCGTCTCGGGGGCCTCCAAGCCCGGGAGCATAACCGAGCCCAGCCCGGCGACCTGGGCCTGCGAGAGGAGAGCGCTGGAGTCGCTCTCGTCTAGGACCTCTTCCTCCTCTTCTTCCCCCTCCTCCTCTTCTTCTTCCTCCGCCGGCTGGTGGCGCGACAGGGGCTGCAGATCCAGCACGGCGCCCAGTAAGCCGAAAGAGGCGGCCGGGTGCAGCGGGGCCTCCTGCGGTTCCGAGCGGCTCTGCGGGCCGTGATCATCGAGGCCTACGTCGGCAAACCTTTCCACCACCAGCGGCGGGAGCTCGGACTCTGTCTCCTCGGTAACCAGCAAAGATGTGCTGCTGGGCATGGCGAAACTATCTTCGGGGTTTTGTTTGTTTAAAAAAATATTAAAATAAAGCAAAAAAATAAAATTTTATTTACAGAATTTCTCCCTATTTGACGGTAATAGTAGTCTTAAAAAGCGCCCGCGCCGGTTGAAGTGGGAATCAATGTGTTCCGGGAGCCTTTTTTATTGTTTCTTTTGTTTCATCGCCCAGCCGCAAGCTGCTACGCCCCGGTTTGAACAGCCTCGGCCTGCCATTGGTTCTTTCAGCACCTGGGCCCGGACTTCCCCGCCGCTGATTGGCTAATTACCCTGTCCAAGGCCGGATGGAATTGGTGGTACACGACAACAATTAGGAACGCCCTACTTTGGGCAAGAGAATCCGGTAGAGTCATGTGCCTTCCGAACTGTTTCTGCCCAAAACATTTCATTGTGGACCATAAGGTGTGACGAGCAAAAAATTGTGTGGATATAAATGAAGTTCGAAATTTTCTTCAGTGAAATTGTTACTATATAGAACGAAACATAATGCAGATTATGTATTTAATTATGTATATGTACACCCCGCTTACTGTATGTTAAAAATGTGAATCTGACAAGAGTTCTTAATAGCCACCTGCATTAGTTACAAAAGATTTTCGGGATAACAACAAGGTGTATGAGGTCCGTGGACTTAGATTTACCAGTGATGCCCATGTTATTGACAAATGGAGCAGGGCCGAATTTTGGAACCAGTTACAGTGACAGCTAACCTGGTAAACCATTAACATTTCAGTTTGCATCGTGTTCTTTATATGCAAACTGCGATTATGTATTATTTCAGGAGACAAGAACAAGTATTCTTGTTGCCGATAGTTTGTGCGCCAGGACTGCGCTTTAGCGTCTTAATTACAGACACACGTCACATGTCATATGTCAGAGTTCAACGCACTTATGTAAGGTACCTTGGCTAAGAGTCATGATTGCATTTTATCAACACGCAATGTGCATTCTTAAAGGGAAGTTTAAAATAGACAAAAATATTTAGTGACAAACAATTAACTTAAATTCACCCACAGAACACCTGATTCCATAATGTATTGTCCTCTAAAGATCAAATTATGTTCTTTTTATTCACGATAAAATATTTTGTATTAGTAGGAAGACAATGTTATGGGATTCCAATATCTAACACTTCACACCTGTAATTGTGAAGTCTACTGAACAGGAAATAATCGTGAAAAAGTATACTCTTGGGACTAGAATGAAGAAAAATTAACAGCCCCAAGTCCTTGTTCATCTTTTGTTTAGTTGTTCTAATTATCCGCACCTGAACAGATACCTCACTGAAAGAAGAACCAGTTCGCTCGAAGGCGAAATTTGTTGCGGTGTGCAGAACTATAAGTAAGCGATGCTCAACTGTGCCTCCTTCTGGCCAAAAAGAGCATAACACTTGTTAATCATTCGTTTATGGTTGAAGGGATGAAATCACTTGCATTTAAAATATTAAACGTCTAAAGCATGACGATATCTTACAACAAGTGAGAAAGCTGCATATTACGGGAAACGGGCTAGGCGAGACGGAGCCTATCAGCGAAGCACAGCGTTCACTGAGGGGGCTATGCACTGGACAGTCCATCGGATGACTCACAGACAGGGACAATTTACAGACACCCTTACCTGCTGCTGAAATTCTTATTCTGAGGTCATTAACAGTCACGACTGAACGAGTTCCCGGGATTCAAGTTACATGCAGCAGAATATTCAAGATGAGCTAAATGACATGTCTTTAATTACTCCCCTGTACAGTCTTTTGTAATTCAGGGGGGGAAAAATAACCCATTCAACCATTTTCTAACCGCTTCATCCGATACAGGGTTGCGCTGGTACCGCAGTCCATCCCCGCAAGTAATACGCCCAAGGGAGGAGGACACTCTGGACGAGAAGCCAGTCCACTGCAGTGCAGAAAAAAAATAATCTTTTGTCGGAGACAGTGAAGTTATCAGGTATCAGCCCGAGTAAATCTTGTGATTCTTGTGATTCAGGTTTGTTCCACCTTATCTCCAGGACATTTTGGTATCGAGTTCTGCCAAGTCTTTCTCCGTATCGAGAGTCCTTCCTTATTGCACTCCTAAACGGCTGCTTCGCCTTACTGGCTCTGAACACGACGCTTTTCGGCAAAGGTGATCATGGAATCTTTGCTAAAAAAGGAGCAACCGGTCTACAAAGTCAGACACAACAATCTTCCGCGAGTACGGAATTGGCCAAATCTTCATGCAAAATAAGTAAGGCTCACACTGCAGAACCAGTTTTCTGTTTAGTTAGGATTATTTAGTTTTTTTTTAATCTGAGAAATGCCACTAACACTGTTGTTGTAAATGGTCGCAGAAATAAACCCTTGCATCTGAAAGCGCAGATTTTTATTTCCGAGTACAGTTTACTTTCTTGTTCTTCAAAAAGGCACCGTAAACACTCAGCACTACCTGATGTAGGAAAGAGCGGAAAAAGGAAATCCCTGCCCACCTGTTCACCCCTACACCTGCTCCCAGATGAAAGAAAAATAAAAGAAGAGGTGTCCAGGAGACAGTCCCTGGCACAACGAGACCTGCCAGTTCCTGCCCACTGTTTCACGTGCACAGTCCCTGGGAATCGTAGTTATTCTACAGTGGGGCCGAGCAACAGGGCACACCTAGACCCTGCAATCCTGCTGCTGGATGAGGACTCGAACCCGGGCCTCTCACAGTGCCAGCGGCAGGCCTGGCCGGCTGCTCGGATTGCAGCTCGGATGTGCCGTCTGTTACGTTTTTGTTATGTCTGTTATTATTTCAATATTACCGCTACTGCACAAAGATCAAAGATTTTACAATTATGCAAGGAGCGTGTAGTTGTCAAAAATACATATTTGTCGTGCATTCATCTATGTGTTAGGCAGTGCCGTCGAAATCTTGTGAGCAGTGTCATAGTACTTCTGAAGAGTACTGCCTACATAGTAGAAACTGACAAGGGAGACAAAATGCTTCCTCTTATAGACAGAAGCTACGTGTTTGCTATAAAAAGAGGCAACAGAACATCTTCTGCGTTGCTCTCGAGATGCATAATTTATGTGTATGTTACAGAAATCTAAATAAATAAGGCGACACTTTCTGTAGCTGGGCGAAAGTGCGCCGGAGCACGTGCGAGCCTGCCTGTGCGAGCAGGAGAGAGTCAGGACAGTGACAGTCAGACCCCTGTCCACCCCTCCGCCGTGTCCAGCAGGGACTGCCAGTTCTGTCAAGCAGGTTTGCCGGTGCATGTTACACAGTTTTTTAAATGAACGTAGTTGTAAGATTTATATTATCGTGCACTCCTATAATAATAATAATAATAATAATAATAATAATAATAATAATAATAATAATAATAATCGATGAGAGCTCACATGTGATTTAAATGTTCAATGCTTATGACGGGAGCTGTTACCGCAGTCTTATGACTAACATATTCTTGCAGAGCTCAGAGGATGAAAGCCGTGGGCTCCGGTTTCTGTAGCCCACCCAACCTGTAGTCGCCTCTGTCGCTGAAGATGCCTAACCGGTTGTAGGAAGGAGGCGATTAAACGTCACATGGCTCTCAGTCTCCCTCGGCCTCCCGACACGGAAGAGGAGGAGAAGGAGAGACTCCACGTCATTGAGGTGCTGTAATACCGACATTCACTGGAAAATACATTACAGGACCTACAAATAACTGCCATTTCCATGCCTGCCTCGACAGACCTGGGTATGGATTATTCTCGCGTTTGGATTTAACATTGGGGATTATTGCGAACAGTGGGAAATCGCTTCGCACACCAATAAACGGGGCAAAAGGATTTTACTGAACCAAAGGTAACATTTTTTATTTTCCTATCCTGTCAGTGAATAGACACAGCGGTCTGCAGGTACAAGGCAGACTGGTGCAGTCTTGATTCAGTTATATCGTGGCAGTTTTGATATTTTCTTATTTTGCACAGCCAGGCCTTGGCAATTAATTACGGTGTGTGAAATGCATTGTTGGAGCGCTCCGGGCTGTTATCCGTGTGTGATTGGAGAGAACGGCGCAGTGACATTGGCACTCGGGCGGATAAGAAGAGGCTATCGGCTACTTGAATGCACATTTTATAAGGCTAGGTGTGCTACTACTGTGGACTACTGTAGAGGGGATTTTATAGTTCATTAATATGATAACTATAGTTAAATCGCCTGGAGCCACCTATTATGCAAATTGTGCAATTTATAATTACTTGAAAGGGGGTTTTCTTGTCGTACGGACAGCTCTTTAGTGCTTTATCTGATAGAGATACGTAAAGTGTAGTATCCTTTTGGCACATCGATACTGCGATTAATATGGCAAAAGCACCGTATTGATGGAAAACATTAAAACAGTTAATACATTGGATACATTACCCCTTTCAAAGTGATGAGCAGACTATGTGCTACTGCGTACGCTGTACCTATGACGGTCTACAGAAAGTTTTGGAACGGTAAAATAAATCAGGACGAGTGCTAGTATATATATTTCTTATTATTATTCAAATATCATAGTCTCATATCATTCAGGTCTCACTTGCGGGTTCTTAATTTAGCTGTCAGCCTTTTCATTTGAATGAACAGCTCTTTTAATAACCGCAAAAACACGGTAGCCATTGTTTTTACAGAAAGAAGAAATAATGACAACAACAATCCACAGCCCAAGTACTGACTGTAGTTTACAGATTTTTAAAATCATGTTTTCTGAAAAATAGGCTGCCGATGGCTTTACAGGTATGCCGACAGTGTTCGAATTTGAGCGCTTGATTCAAGCACAAATCTCGACGTTTGTCGCGTTTTCAGTAGATTTTAACAAACGCGAAGAACAGCACCCAGCTGTCGTTTTGTTTAAAGGATAATGAAACGCACATGAGGTTTTCGATAGAAAGGGGAACTTCTTTGTACCTTTTAAAACTTGTAAATTATACTACAGTGTTTAAAAGCTATGTATTGCATTGAGCATTCTGGTTACATCTCAGCACCACAGAGTGGCTGTGGGTCCCACAACAGTTACTTTATCACGAGCCCCTCATCTGATAGGCGTTCTTCAGCAGGGCGTCATATTCAGCTTGGGCAGCCTTCAGTGAAAATCGGCACATTGTTTCAAAAACCATCCCCTGCTCGCCCTTTATTTCTGTTCCCCCACTGTTTGAGAACATTACTGCTCCAGAGTGGACATGACCAATAGGAGGATCTTGTTTGGTTTCTGGCAGCTTGAAAGAGCCCCTTTTTCCCAGAGAAGCTAGAGAAACATACTGTAGATGTGTTTGTTCAACACACCTTCCACATTTTCTGTGCCTCCTATGTTCATGCCTTAACACACTGCTACTTTTCTAGAAACTTGGGTCCATGGTTCATTGTTTATTTGTGCTTGAAGTAATCCTTATAGTTTACAGTGTCTCTACTATTCAGAACTTTGGCTGTTTAAATAGTGTTGGTGTGCAGTGTCCTTTGATCAAGGCTGAAGAGATTCTGGCTTCTAATCTTGTCTGGAATACCTTTAAGGCCAGTGACAAGTTGTTACTCTTTTATGTACTCTTTAAAGAATGAAAGTAATGTTTTGTTTTTAATAAAACTGTATACATTAGTATCAGTTCAGGTGGGTAGCTGCGTCAGCATGCGTAGGCAGCATAGGAACAAGTAATAGGTTTATTCCATGCTGAAAAAAAGAAGAAAGAAAACACAACGTTTCGGCCGTGGAGCCTTTTTCAGGTTACATTAGTAACATATGGTTACATATGGTTACATATGTAACCTTCAGGATACATTAGTATCAGTCTGGTTTCCCCGGGCTTGGACTCAGGCCCCTCTATATTTAGAAGGCCTGTAAGTTTCCTTCATCATTGCTGTGATTCTCTGAAAATAAATTCAGTCATGCTACATTTTATCTCCGTGACCCTAGTTTATATACGAAAATAGCACAGGTGAAAAATGAGAGGGACCACAGAGGTAGAGAGCTGGTTTATGAAGTATCCGGTCTTTGGGCTTCCAAAACAAACACTTGCCACTCTTTGTGTACAGAAGCAGTTCCTATTCTTCGACACAAATGAAATGCATTGTGGCCCTGTACCCATGTTTCACTCTTGAGACTCCAGAAGGCTTTTGGTATATTGATATTGTATGGCCCCTGAAGAGATGTAAAACCAAAACACAACATTCTAAGGAATATCTGACTCCATTTTATGAAGGAAGCTGGCTTTATGCTTAATTTATTTTTATTGGTTGCACTGAATTCCACATTATTCTTTTGGTTAGGTGATTCCATTCATGTTTTGGTAATGCAGATTTTCTGAAGCCCTTTATATTTGCTCGCCTTTTTAATGCTCAAAACAGACCTCTTATTTTAGATAGGGGGCACAGTACTGTACAAAGGAAAATTGATTTAAAATAATAGTAATTGGTATCACAAAATAAAACACTGAAAGTTCATTACAGCTGATTTGTATAAACATACTGTATGTGGGTGTATCTAACGATCAGGACTGACAAATGGTACAGAGCTGTGTTTAAATGAAATCTGTTATTGAATGTATATTTACAGGAAAAACATCTAAACATATCACACGTGAGAATAACAGAAGACAAATGACCTTGATCTGTCTGGTCCGTTGGCACAGCCAAACACACACAGATGGGGTTTGTTGACCCTTAAAACACATTTAAATAATTTGCACACTTGATTTGGTCTTTAGCTGACTGGAACTCCTAACAAGTCTCTCAAAGTTGATTGTTTATTTCCGTTTGTGATACTTGCACTTTTATTAGCTAACTGAAGAGGTATATATTTAGGTTTTTTCTTGACAAGAAGATTCAAATTAGCTTTAACAGGCAGATTAAGGCCTGACAAAGCAGTGTGATACAAGTGTCTTCATGAGGATGCCTTCAGAAGGAAACATAATGTATTTGTTGTTCTCATATTTTAACTTAATAAAATGTAAAAGTGAAACAGAATATGAGTAAATCCTGACTTAAATGTATTTAAAGCTCAAGTTTAAATTACTAGCCTTTCACTTACAATACTTACAATACTTACTTACACAACCCACAGTAAATGTTTATCACTACTGCTTAGGCTAGTTAACTTGTTATTTGTTCTAGCACTAATGCCTTCTGATAGGCGGCAGTGTGAAGTTCCAGGGATGCCCATCCCTGCTGGGGGAGAGCATATGAGAACATAAGAGTCAACAACAGAAAAGGTACAAGACACCACAGATAAACGCACTGTGTGGATTCCAGATCAGGAGAGGTGGGTGGACACACGGCCTGGTTTTCCAGGGATGACTTTATTCTTATTTCACCATCTCTAGAGAAGCACACTTTGTTTCAGCAGCGCGCCGGCTTTAGTCTGCGATGCTCCTTGGAGAGAGGCGTGAGTGACTTGCATTTCCTTCTCTCTGCTCGGCTCCAGCACAGTGGCCACGCATTCCAGCAGATGTCTAGAATACTTATAGACTGTGTCAGGTCAAGTCACAAGCTCAAACAAGGGCAGTGAATTAGGCAGGGCTGCAAATAGATTTATGTGTATCTTAATTATCCAGTATTTGAAAACACTTAAAAAATCAGGGGTGTGTTTAACTAATGGTCTTTTAATGACAAGTAGCTCGACAGGTCTCCGTGTATCACCACACCCTGTCCTTAGGGTTCAAGGAGGAAACAGAACAGTAACAAGTTTGCTTTGAAGATCGACAAGGCTAGAGAGAAAAAGTTTCAAAGGGGGACCTGGCGGGGACCACTGTCTTTGAGATGTCAGAGGGCCTTCTCTTGCTGCAGGGGATCATGGACACTTTTGAAAGTTTTAATAATGAGTCAGAAAAGAGTATTAGCCTCTTAGCATTTACTACGTAAGGGAGAGTGCTCCTCTTATTTGGAAATAAAAATCTGTAAAATAGGAAAAGAGGAAACACTTAAACCTGAATGGGCAGGAAGGACAGTTGGAACCCCAAAAAACAATAATGGTCACCTAGAGATGAAGAAAACTCACCAGATTTCCTTGTAGCATAGACAACAGTGATTTCAGAGTCAGCGGCCTCCTGCAATAGTGGAGCTCCAAGCCAAACCGCCTTTGCTGAAAATCCGAGAGATTAGCAGACATTGCACATGCAAGTGTTTAGATTTCCAGACAAGTGCCTGTCACCTTGAGGACCTTTCTAAATTGAGCCCAGGACAGTTAATACAGCTCAGTGGGAGCTGTTGAGTGATGCCATGCAAAAACCAAAGAAGAGCAGAGAGATAACCATTCTGTTCAGAGTCGAGTGCTGCAGTAGACTTTAATTGATCCAAATGCACTTAGAGGTATCTGGACATGTCCAAGCCAAACCAGTGCATCAGAAAATCTCTGTAGCATTAGATAGCTAAAAATCAGTTTCCTGAAGAAGAAAAAAAACCCAGTGTTTCTGCTCCTTTTACTAAAGAGTCTGAAGAGTCAAAAAAAAGAGTCCGTACAGGAGAGCTATGGTGAGGGACAGATGAGAATATAACAAGAATATGACAAAGGAACTGATTTCGGAAGGACAAGGCCAATCTGAACAGTGCGTTTGTTGTCTCTGAGCTTGTGTTCTCTGAGGCACTATGGTCAAAGAAAGCACAAGACCGGCATGTGAGGGCATGAAGTGAAATTTTGGAAATGTAGAAGTCACGGATCAGTTTCAGTCGGATCACATTTCGATCCACCCTGGGTAGAAGCAGACAGGGTAGAATTTCATAGTTTAAGAAAGCAAAGGCCTCAAACATGCTGTCAAAAAATGCCCAAATTATTAGGCAAAGAAAGAAGCCTTTCAGCTGAAGGGTTTAAGCTGAAGGATTAATATTTTATGCAACTT